CTACCACGCCCGGCTGATTTTTTGATTTATTGTAGAGATGAGGTCTCGCTGCCCAGGTGGGTCTCGAACCCGTGGGCTCAGGCAATCCACTCACCTCAGCCTCCCAAAGGCGCGTGATTACAGGCTGAGCCACCAAGCCCGGCTTTTTTTTTTTTTTTTTGAGTTGGAGTTTCACTCTGTTGCCCAGGCTGGAGTCCAGTGGCATGCTCACAGCCACCGCAGACTCAACCTGCTGGGCTCTGGCAATCCTTCTGCCTCAGCCTTTTAAGTAGCTGGAACTATAGGTGCGTGCTACCATGCCTGGCTAATTTTTGATTTATTGTAGAGACAAGGTCTTGCCAAGTTGCCCAGGCTGGTCTTGAACTTGTGGGCGCAGGCAATCCATTCACCTTGGCCTCCCAAATTGCTGGGATTACAGGTTGAGCCACTGAGCCCAGCCAAACTTTCTTAATCATCTAACTAGAATGATTTGCAAGATTAACAGCAATAAATACCACTGAAATTAGATTTATAGAGCAATTTCCCTTCATAAGACGAAGTCACACAAAATGTTTTAAAAGTTTCAAAATAATCATAAAAAATTCACCTTATTCAAATATTCAGATATAGAAACTAAAACTCTTGTGAAATTAAAGGTTTTACCCAAATTCAGCTGCTAGTTAACTGATGAATCAGGGCTAAGTGCCATGAATCTTAAGACTAGGTTTTTTTCTTCTCTTATACTGAACTGGCCTATAGAACATGTGTGTGTATACTTATATGTAAATAGAAATGTATGTGTGTCTATATGTATGTACATACATTATATTAATACCAGTAAGAATTTTTTGTTTAAGAATTTTCTATTCCTTTCTAATTATGAGAACATGAGTACAGATAGCATTCCCACTTCCCTATTGCACTCATTTCTTTTTCACTGAATTTGATTTATTTTCAGTGCCTAGTTTGCAAACTATGTTATCTATTATAAGACAGGCACTAGAATTAGAGGCTAGAAAAACAAAGAATTAAAAAAACCCTATCCTTAAAAAAGCTCTCAATTTTAAGTACATAGCACCTTACTAAAAGTTTCCTTTGCTGATTCTTCCTCATCTTGCAAACACTAGAACAGTGCTGTCCAACAGAAATATAATGTGAATCACAAATGTGAGCCATATATGTGATTTTCGATTTTCTAATAGCCACATCTAAAACAAATATAAATACTTAATTCAATATATCCAAATGTTATAATTTCAACAAGTAATTAATATAAAAATTATTGATGAGATATTTCATTTTGAAGGGGACTTAGTCTTCAAAATCTGGTGTGTAGTTTACACTTGGAGCATACGTCTATTGAGATTAATCACATTTCAAGGGCTTAATCATCATGTATGACTAGTCCCTACTATTTGGACTGTGCAACTCTAGAAAACTGGAGTGTCCTAGTGTTTAATCCTTGGATGGGTTTTATTTTCTAGTGATACCCACTCTTCTGGGAATCTCAAACTATCTCATGGCTTTAAAACCATCTATATGCTAGTGATTCCCAAGTTTATATCTGGCCCAGACCTCTTTCCTGAACTTCAGATTAATACACAATTACTTAGACATAAGTCTTAACATTTCCCAAGCCAAACTCTTGACCTATAACCAGCAATCCCCTATCTAAATCTGCTTTTCTTTAGACATCCTTATTTCTGTAAATGGTTAACTCCATCATTTCAGCTACTCAGGGTGAAAACCAGAGTCAAGCCTGACTCCTTTCTTTCTCATCCCATACACTATTCACTGCCCGGCAGTGCTTCTCAAATACAGTGAGCAATGCCTTGTGATCCAACCAATAATGCTAATTGCCCATTCCCCTCCAACCCTCAAAAATGGAAGGAAAATAAAAGCATGCACCAAACAGTATACTGTAACTCAACATAACACTTTATATTTCAAGCAAGAAAGTTTGCAGAAAATACAGACATAAAAAATGGGGGGAAAGATATGTGTTAGAATTGTTACGAAGATATTATTAAGAATGATAGAAGAAATAAGTGTAAGATGCTATGAACATATTTACGGTTTATATTTCATTTTGGGGGGCTTATGTCTTCAGAAATCTGGACAAATTTCATCTTATCACTGAGGAAAATGACATACCTCACGTTCCATGCAGTGGTAAAGTCTGGGTTTAGAAGCAGCAGGGTGCATGTGACATCTATCAATTCTAAAATAAAGAGAAGTCATATTAAAAACAAATAGTACTATCCTTTAAAGCTTGGCTTCTCTTTCTTTTAAGGTTCTCTCTCCGAGAGAGATGCATATAAACACACACATACACTCTACTAATATATACTAATACTAATATATATATATCATGATATATATATAATTTTAATGATAAATAACCTGTTCTAAGCTATCAGGGATATGAAGATTAACCTCAAGTCCTTCTCCTTCTTATGATAAATATAACTCTTTTAAAAGCCAACACTAAAACAATTCTACAATGTGCCCATAAAGAATTAACTTCCTCATTCTTTTAGTAATTTTTGGCATAAATTTAATATTTACCAAGAATAAGAAACAGTTTCTATGCCACTATTCATTTAATTCCACAAATCTCTCAAGTATTGACTATGTGTGCAAATTTCAAAAGGATAAAAAAAAAAAAACACTCACGATCCAACCCACTTAAAACAATTTATTTACATTCTCCTGCAATAATTATTCTTTCTTGCACACATTTTTTACATAGGCATAGCAACAGTAAATGTACAATTTTGTTTTATTTTCTTCATCCAGTATTATTTCATATGCATCCTCCTATATTGCTACAGTATATATTTTTAACAGTTGCAAGATAATTTCTTAGTTCTACATGCTATCATTTATCTTATTCTTCAGGTCATTTCCTGTTTGTTTTTACTATTATGAGGGAGGACTGCCCCCCCAAAATGAAATTATCTTTTGAGGGCAGGCCCCTTACGGTACAGGCTTCTCCTGCTAGGTAAGTGTTACAGGAATTCATCGGGCATCAGTGTAAGCAACAACTAGTGTTGTTTTGAGAAGCTGCATTCAGTTTAAGTGAATTTTTTTTTTTTTTTGTAGATTCTTTCAACGTGTTTGCCCATTTCATGATTGGTTCAATCCAGCCCACACCACACTGAGTGTTCATAAGTTTTGGACCAAAAGCTGCATGACCCCGTGCCCCACCCTCTCTGTTCACCTGATCTTGTCCCAGAGACTTTTGTTTCCCCAGATGAAAAAAGTACTCAAAAGGAAATGTGCTGCCAACGTAGAAGAGATGAAACAAAAAATGGCAGAAGCACTAAAAGGCATCAAAATTGACAAGTTCAACAACTGTTTTGAGCAGTGGAAAAAGCAACTTGATAGGTGTATTGCATCAAATGGACAGTGCTTTAAAAGGGCTGAAGTTTAAGCATGTAAGAATACACAATTTTTAATAAATAAATCCCAGGGTTTTGGGGTCCCCTGGTATATATAATATTACTACAAACATTTTTAATCAGATCTTTTTTGTCTCATAGACTCATTTCTTAGAATATATCCCCTGAAGCAGAACTATGTCAAAACAATGTAAAAGTATTGCTCCTACTAAGCACTTCCAAATTGTCCTCCAAATGGACTGTATTTATTAATACTGCCAAGAGTAACATGAGTATACTTATGTTCCTATAACTGACCAATATAATTATATTTAAAAAGTGAATATGGCAGATAAAAATTCGTGCTTTCTGTTTTAATTTACATTAAAATATTACATTTATTTTATATTTGTCAATATAAAAATTTTTCATCTTTGTTTGCTACACATATACAGTTCACCTTATAAGCAGGGCAGATAAAAATTCGTGCTTTCTATCTTAATTTATATTAAAATATTACATTTATTTTATATTTGTCAATATAAAAATTTTTCATCTTTGTTTGCTACTTATATACAGTTCACCTTATGAGCAGGATATTCATATTCATTAGCCATTTATTTATGGTCTTGGCCTATCAAATAAGCTCCATAGTCTGTATTTAGGAGAAAAAAAAATTAGTAAAGTTTAGACATACTGTCTTTGTTTTAATAAAATTTAAAGATAATTCTAGGATTAAGATGATCAACCTAGGGATATAATACTAAACTAAGGCAACCCTATCAAGCTCATATTAAATGCCAAGTTAATATTAAATGCCAAGTTAATCATTATAATTTATTTAGCATTGCTGTGTACTAGGCATGCTAGTAAACATGTATTTGCATTATTTCACTGAATTCTTATAATCACAATCCAAAATATTCTTATTACATTTTCCAGATAGGGAAATATTTAGAGTTTAAGCAATTTGCTCAGCCACCCAATTAGCATGTGGCAAAGTCAACATCCAACTGCTTTTAACAAATCAATTATACTGCAACTGAAATGTCTGTCTGCAATAAATAACTGGGACACTTTCAGTGTTTAAGTAAAATATAACCTTTTAAAAATCTAAGAACACACACATTAAAACATCCTGTGGTTATTTTAACATATTCTGGCTAGCAAGAAAATCAACTATTCTATTCTTACCATCATAGTAAGAGATTAACATTTATTTCAAGATTTCATTGCTAGTGAGCGTACTGTAATATTCAGTTACAAGCAACAAACAGTAGGATCAGCAGGATCAGCACACATTTTTTACTTCCACCTTCCTTGTTACAAGTCATTAAATGCATACACAAACTATAAGGAATAATCTAGTTAACCTCTTCATTCTTTACTTTGAGTAGTTTTTGGCACTATTTTAATATTTAATAAGGAAAATAAACATAATTTTCTATATCATTATTCATTTAATTCCACAAATAATCCAAGTATTGACTATGGATTAAACTAGGCCCTTAGAACTGAGATACTGGATATAATGACATATAAGACCTGATTTTGTCCTCTCAAAGGTTACTCTCCAGTTGGACAAAACATATAAACAAATAATCATACCGCAGTATGTCTAAACTTTACTGACTTTTTTTCTTCTAAATACAGGTTTATGCAGCTTATTTGATAGGTCAAGACTATGATAAATAAATAGTTAATGAATATGAATATGCCGTTCATAAGGTGAATTGTATATAAGTAGCAAACAAAAATGAAAAATGTTTATATTGACAAATGTACATTAAAACAGAAATTAATCATATAATTGGGAAGTAGAAGCATAAACCTCATTTTGGGGCCCTCCAAAGAAGCTACAATAATTCTTACTTACTAGGGTACCCATGGAAGACTGTAAATTAGTAAAGTGGTCACGGCACTGCCTTTCATACTGGAAAAAGTATGAGCAAAGAGAAAGAGGCATGAAACTTCACATAGAGCCTGCTCTTCAAGAGACAATAGGTGCCAGAGTGTGACTACAGCACAGGGTGCTAGTAAAACATACCAGGAAATGAAGCTTTCAAGAACCTGGTCCCAAACTCCTTATCAATCTCCTTTTTGGTCTCCCATTACTTTCCTTCACATGCTACACTCTACCTGAATCAAACCCCAGCATCCTACCTGCCTACCTTTTCTTCTTTGAACATAACTCAGATTTACCTGCTTGCTATTCTTTATGCAAGAAATGTCTTCTCATCTCCTCATACTGAAACGTACATACATCTTAAATGCATCTTTTTCCATAAAGACTTCCCAAACTTTGTACACCTAACCCTGAACTGTACCCCACATCTTTAAAATAAAAAAATAAAAAAGACTTCCCAGACCTACCTAGCTGGAACAAAATCTTGCATCTCTATGTTGTATGTGTATCTTACTTATGCTACTTATATAAATATTATCCTCTTAATCAGAAACACATCTTTTGGAGGCAGGTATATATCTCCATATTATTTACTTACTCAACAAATTTTATGAGCAGCTACAGTAAGTCAGGTATTGAGGCAGGGTGAAGAGGAGTAAAATATGGCTCCTGTCCAAAAGCAGCTCCACATCTGACCTCAGCATAGAGGAGAGGTAAGAGCACAGGCCTTCCTTATAGCCACACTAACTGGGTTTGAATCCAGTTTCTCCATTTACTACCTACATAACTTTACTTCTTTGTACTCCAGTTTCTTTATCTGTGAAATGGGAATAATAACAACAGTCTCACAGTGTTGTGAGCAATGAGATTCATTCCATTTCTCCATAGTTATTTGGTGTATAGTGAGTGCTCAATATTTGTTCACCTAACACCACTGATACTTAACAAGAATTGAATATTTTCAGTATCAATTAATAAAGGAAGTCCAAAATAATAAGGCAGAAAAACTGTCTAAAATATAGAAAAACTGTCTAAAATTCTAGACTTATACAAGCAACAGCAATAACAAAAAAACCACTTAGTAGTCAAGCAATTATATGGAAAGGTCTGTACATAATGATAAAGCCTCTGAGATTTCTTTCTACATCTACAATTTTTCAAAAAGCCATTATACTACCTAGGTAACCTGGTACTTAGTCCCTTAGACTCTTTCTGTCTACATTAAACAAAAGTTGAGTGACCAAGGGTAGTTGCTAATTGTACTTCTGATATAACTCTCCTCTCCCTCTGACCCCCCCTCCAGTACCTGTCATAGTAAAGACAAGTTCATCTTCCATGAGAGAGACTTCTGTACAGCAGTACAAATATTTAAGTCCCTACTTTTTGTTTTTCTTTTTTTTTTTTTTTGAGTTGGAGTCTTACTCTGTCGCCCAGACTGGAGTGCAGTGGCATACTCATGGCCACCCCAGGGTTGGCCTGCTGGGCTCTGGCAATCCCTCCGCCTCAGCCTTCCAAGTAGCCGGAACTACAGGTGCACGCTACCACATCCGGCTAATTTCTTATTTATTGTAGAGATGAGGTCTCGCCAAGTTGCCCAGGCTGGTCTCGAACCCAAGGGCTCAGGCAATTCACTCGCCCCAGCCTCCCAAAGTGCTGGGATTATAGGCTGAGCCACCAAGCCCGGCCAAGTTCCTACTTTTCTTGGCTGTGTAATGAGAGGAAGGCTGATCAAAGTAGTGCTACCTTTACTAGTGGGTCTTTCCCCAGGAGGACAACAGCAGCTGTTGGGTCAGAGACTGGCTCCACTACTTGCTGGAAATTGTTATGCAAATCACTTAGTATCTCTAAGCCTTAGTATCCTCCTCATATGTAAAATGGCGCTAACATGGGGATATTAGATGATTAAAACCCCTGAAGTGTTAGGACAGAATC